GGCTGTCAGGTGTGCAAACTGGGTCACCCCATCATTGGCCACAACAGCAAGGCGACCCTCTTTGATGATGTACATCACCGAGCAAACCGAGTCTGTAGTATTTCAAGAGAAGCTTCTAACCTCTCCACTTTCTCCTCAACCTGTTCTTCTCCAATTCCACCTGCGTCCATCTCCTCCAGCAGGCCCTCCTTCAGAAGGATCTGTCTTCCCCTCTCTTCCAGAGCTTTCTTAGCATCCGGATACTCCATTACAGTCTCCATCAGGTCATCCTTTGACAAACAGAAGAGGTCAGAATAGCCAATGCTACGGACGTTAGCTGTGCGTCGGTTGCCCATTTTGCTGCCTTTGATGTTGAGGATGCTAATCTCGCCAAAGCAGCTGCCGGCCGTCAGGTGTGCAAACTGGGTCACCCCATCATCGGCCACAAGATGTAGACTCCGGGACTGAAGACCTGTGGCAGCAGCTTGAGCACCAGTTCAACCAAAAGCCCAGCTTCACAGTCCTGGAAGATTCGGACCTTCTTCAGTGTATCCAGGTGCACATTGATAGCGATCTCAGCCCGCAGTTTGTTGGGCAGATTCTTTAGGACATCCTGCTCATCAATTGCTTTCTTGTTAGTCCACAAGTTGTCTAACCATTTGATGACTCTGGCTTCGAGCTCATTGCTGACCTTTCTGAACTGCATGTAGTGTTTGATGGCATCGATGTGAGCCTGGAACTCAGCCCATGTGGCATTCATGTTTGATATCATGGCTCCTACGTTACCAACAATAGTGGCAAAAATTAGAACACCAACAAGGAAATCAAAAACAACAAAAAGATACTCCTCATCCCGCACTGGAGCTGGCACTTCCCCAATGGTCGTCAAGGTGAGGGTTGACCAGTAGAGGCAGTAGACGTATCCTCGAGTGAGTGTCCCAAACTCAGGATCAGATATGTTTGGGTAGACCCACTGGTCGGATCCAAATCCCAGAGACTTGGAGATGGCAAAGTAGATGCAGGTGTTCAAGTAAATGATAACTAGGATATAGAGCACCAAATGCGAAACATGTTGGGGTAGCTTGTGCCGGTCTCGGTCTGGTCAAAGAACTCAAACAGACATGAAAAGCGCATCAGTCAATTGAAATGCATCTAGCCTCTCTTTCATTTTCAGTGATAAAATGATATTGAAATCAACTGATAACAAACTAAAGCAGCAGTGTAGCTCATTTGCTTCTTTAGAAATAAACATTTAGTATTATCGGTTCTTTAAAACTGATAAATATTATAAAACATTCACTATGGTTTAACTTCAGTGATAATACAGATAGCTGACAGCTCCTCACATTAAGTTCACTAAATGCCCTCATCTGCACAGTTACATCGCCCATGTTATTAATATAAAACAGGGGTCACCAAACTTGATCCTGGAGGGCCGGTGTCCTGCAGAGTTTAGCTCCAACTTGCCTCAACACGCCTGCCTGGAAGTTTCAAGTATATTTAGTAAGACCTTGATTATCTGGTTCAGGTGTGTTTAGTTAGGGCTGGAGCTAAACTCTGCAGGACACCGACCCTCCAGGATTGTGACCCCTGCTATAAGTCAGGCACACTAAATAGTTTAATATAACGTTAAATAAATCTTCATATGTGGATGAACACAACAAAAACTTACATACAGTACTTTACAGCAGTTCCCGTGCGCAGTATGTTTAAAATGGCCCTGCAGGACTTCTGCATCAACTGTCTAAAAAGTACTGCATGATCAAAATGACAGATCTTACATGACTTGTCAAATAGTCCCTACATCAAACTAAAGTGAAAAGAAACTGCTGCATCAAATAATAAATACACAACTTTTTTAAAGAAAATTAAGACATTTAGTTCAATTATGATTACATTAACAAAAAGGCCTCAAAAGTACAATGATAATACCATGTTTCTGTTGTTGTTGTTGTTTTTAAAAGCCAGTGTTGCATTTGAATCAGTTCTGCACACAAGAGTCAAAATGACAGAATTGAATGGATTGATTTACAAATTGAATCGACAATAATGTCTGTTCACATCTGATATGACTGAAGCAAAATTTAAAAACTTTAAGCTAAAACAAACTACAAAGAAATATGTCATAAACAGTGGTTGCATTGAGAGAAGGTTGCAGACTGCTGACGCTTTAAACTTGCTACCATGATTATTTAAGTTGTGGTAACATTTCCACTGAATTATTTTTTTAGTGTTTGTTGTTGTAGTTATTTAATTATTGCACTGCTACTGACAGGGTATATTGACAGGGTATTTCCCTTTACCGGCATAATAAAAAGAAACATTCACAATCTCACTCCACATTAATACATATTTTATTAACATTATTATATAGGATTTAATTCTCTTACAATGACCGAGATATTTTATTTTCTACAGTATATTGTTTCTTTACTTTCTTAACATCCTTTTTTCAGTTCATTGAGTCCAGGAGATGGAAGCACAAATAGAGTTAAATAAACTATACATTCAGACACTCAGTCTGTATTCAGAAGCTCCAACAGCCCATCAGAAACTCCACCCTCTCACAACCTTTACCCTACCAAGAAGTGACTAGTCTTATGATTTCTCCCTTACATATAATACTGAAAGCTAAAAATAGTCAATGATGTGGAGATCAGAGGAGGACACTATAACTGAGGATTTTTGAGAAGTGTATTGAACAGAATAGATTTTGATTGTAATTGTAATTATTTACTTTTTTTTAAACCAAAATTCAGAAAGTGAAAGTAAATTGTAGATCGTTGCAGAAGAAAAGGAAATGGATTCCAAGTCTGTGGAAGAGCTTTCTTGTCCCGTGTGCTGTGAAATCGTCAAGGATCCTGTTATTCTGTCCTGCAGTCACAGTTTCTGTAAAGAGTGTCTTCAACAGTTCTGGAAGACCAGGGATACTCAGGAGTGTCCTGTCTGCAGAAGAAGATCCTCAAAACAAGAACCTCTGAGTATTCTAGCGTTAAAAAACTTGTGTGATTCACTGATAAAGGAGCGAAACGAGAGGCGCTCATCAGGATCTGAGGAGATCTGCAGTTTACACAGTGAGAAACTCAAACTCTTCTGTCTGGAGGACAAACAGCCGGTGTTTAGTGTGCAGATGTAACGGATGGGGAAGAACACAGTCACACACAGGGTTTCTTCAGCTTTGGTTTATCTTTTTGGGAAAAGAGTAGAATAAATCACATTGGCTGAAGACAATACTGCAGATATACATGGAAAAACCGCAGCAGTGACACTCAAATCTGCTGCGGTACAGAAAGAGAAGAGGGACAAAATACTACATTTACAGTACCATTATCGGCCACAGGAGGGAAGACTTCGAACACAAATTAATACAACAAAATGCCTTATTTTATGGAATTCACATTAAAACTGTTTAAATTAAATGTTCTTTTTAACCCTGTTACACTTGCTATATCTCCCGTGTGTATGTGTCTGTACTTGTTTATGCTACATTGTGAGGACCAAATGACAC